GTAATGTTAATAGTGGTTGGGAGAATGTACAATGACTTCTCGGCTGGAAACATAGTCGTTATCACACATGAAGCACGTACCTTTACCAAGTTGCCGTAACCCTCGCTCCATGGATTCTCCTTCTCATTACCTGCGAGTGACGGGCATGTAGTAATCATCCCCGGTGGGTCCAGCTGACGCCATCCTCCATACCCACATGAACACATACCCGCCGTGGAGCAAACTTTGACGCAACTCCATGACGCGGCCCGGTAACGTAAATTCGACAGACTTAAAAGCCAAAAGGATACATCTCTTGCATTTATATTCCCGTACATGTCCTATCTACAATGCTCTTCACATATTTTCGTCTCCGTAGCTTACAAAGCGCGGAGGAAAACGCAGCACAAGACCTTCAGACCTTGACAAATCCACACACACAATAGCCAGCCGGTTTCATCACATCCCGGTAATCGTATATATACACAAGTAGAGGGCTCCTTCCCTCATGAGATTATCCAATGTAAAGTACCTAACATGTCTCGATATAGGCTCATCCAGACAAATCCACTCCCAGAACACTGGTGTGGCATTCAAGCCCACAAAAGAGGGAGCAAAAGAAAAAGGGCAGAACTGCGCCCCGAGTATACAATTCGCGGAAAGAGATCGATGGAGCGGTCGGAAGGAGTCGCCGCGATGATGCCGAAGATGAAGAACGCCCGCCAACGCCATGCCGTCGTGCAAGAACTCGTATGAGAAGGGATGCTATACGCGCTCGTATCGTATCTAGTTGTCGTACGTCGAGGGTAACGATTTGCCGCCGCAATCGGGGATCTTAAGCCCGGGCTTCAGTTTGCGGTTGACGTCCATGAGACCCCACTTGTCTTCCCACTCTTTGCCCTTTTCGTTATACTGGATCTTCCATGGCTCGTCAAAGGCTGAGAACCTGGGGATGCATTAGCGACAATCTATCGAGGCTGGATCACAGGGAGACTTACCAAAAGTACTCTGTCCCGTTAGTTAAACTTGGGCAAACCCAGTCTTCCATGAATTGGTTCATCTCGTCAATACCGGCAACAGAGCCTCCGGCGCAAGTGTCAGCCGCACCGCAGTCGGTGCCGCCTCCAGATGGCCAGCCAACCTCGGCGATTACCTGGTGGATGTCGTTCTGGGTTGCGGTCAATGACACGTCGTGGGTTTGCCAGAAGTTCCAGGTCCAGGCAGCTGCCTCTTTGACGTCGACACCGGCAAAGAAGGGATGAACGTTTGACATGACAATGTCGACCTTGGTGGCCATGTCGCCAGTCCAGTTGTCACCCAGATCAGCCATTGCGACAGGCAGCTGGCAGCTGTGGTCCGAGATGTTCTTGCGGAAATCGGAAATGTGTCCCAGCAGCTCGGTCTCGGACAGGTCCTTGCGGTAAAGCACCTCGTTACCAATGATGATACCCTTGAAGTAGTCGCAGCCATAGTCATCGAGAATGTCCCATGTTTGGGAAATCTGTCGCTCCGTTGTAGTGTCGTTCTTGTCGAGCCATACACCAAGCCAGATCTTCATGGTGTCCTTGATCTCCAGTTGGTTGATGGCGTGGATAAGCATCTGTGTTTGGTTGCAGTCGGTTCCGTACAAGCGGACTGAGTTGGTCAGTTGCGACATGACAGCCAAGTCTCGGGTGATGTTGTTCTGCGATGGTCCGACGTGGAGACAGTCTGGGTACTGCGTGTTCAGAGGAGTGTAGTCCATGCCGGGAAACACCTTATGCAAATCGGCGTTGTTCATCAAAGCCTTGATCTCGGAAGAGTCCTTGCCGAGGTCCTCCTTGTTGTCTTTGGCGATATCGTCAGCAGACTGAGCAGACTTAGCAGCCCCGTCCTTTGCACCGCCACCCTTTCCGACAGTAGCACCGAGGACACCGCCTAGAATTGCACCTGCGAGGATGAGGGTGATGATGGCAATGGCGATCCACATGCGCTTCTTCCGCTTCTTCAAGTCGTCTTCTGCTTTCCAACTTGCAACCTTTTCTGGAACAAGCTCTCCACTTCCGTTGACCATGGGTACGGCGTCGTACTTGGTACCGTCGCGTGAGGCAGCAAAAGCACCAGCGCCTGCTGCGGCAGCAACGCCTCCGTTGTTTATCGATGACCCTGGCGAGCCATTGCGACTGCTGCCGTCCCGCGAGCCACCGAATGGCACGAAAGAGCGTCGCTTGTTCTGTGGAGAGTTGTGGTCTGGGCCCATTCCCCAGTCGTCGTCGTTGTCGACATCGAGCGGGTTGATCTGGCCCATCTGCGGCGCGAGGTTCTGGGCGGACGAAGAGTAGCGGTTGTAGGGCGTGTCGGCGTAGGGGACGCCGCTGTGCGGGGAGTGTGGCATGCTGTACATGGAGCTGTCACTCGAGTACATGCCGCCGACGAGTGGTGCGCCGGAACCGTAGGAGCGTTGCGAGTACATTGGGCGCGGGACCATGGGCTGGTCGTGACCATTGGGGTCATTGAAGGGTGATGACTGCGAGTTCCTGTTGGGGACGCCCATGGGCCGTCCTGGGCCAGCCATGCCTCGTGCAGCGTGCAGGCCGCTCTCGCGTGGGTGGGAGCCCGCGACGCCGCTGGCGATGCCGTTGATGCCGCCGCCCGGAGCCGTCTCGCCCATGTTGTCTGAGCCGGGGGTGACGCCTGGGGTCGAGTAGTCGGAGTAGTTATTGGGGTCGGTATACTGGCGCTGGGCGTGGAGGCCGACGGGAGTGCGATGGGCTGGCGGAGGCGGCGGATTGTCGTCGGACGGGAGGGCGTCGTGCTGCTGTCCTAATGGCCAGGCCTGGGGTTGCTGGAAAGCCATTGTGAGTGCTTGTTCGAGGTTTTGCTACACACCTCGCGTGCAGAGGCGAAAACAACCTGCGCGGGCAACGCTTGGTGGAGGTAGCGGACGGCGGCGCGCCGCTCTGCGGATCGAATGGAGGCGGACTATCGCTGGGCCTGGCTAGTGTTTGCGGCGCGGAACACGGTTGGCTGGGTGGTTTGTTCTTCACGGCGTGGGACCTCGCAGGGATCCGGGCAGAACGAGCGGAAAAGATAATGCAGAGGCAGCGTTTCGCAGAGGCGCAGGCGCGGTCGCAGTGGTGGAGAGAAAGTCGGAGTCGTGCAGTGGCCGAGATGATGCAGGTGTGTTAGGCGGGTAACACGGCGCTGGCACGACAGAGGCTGACGGCTGCGACTGCGCGATGCGCTAGCCCGCTAATTCACCCAGGAAACCACCACGGAACCCACTGTGACGTCTCCGCCAATGCACCAGCCCCAAACACACTCAACAGGTTTTGCGACAAGATAACGCCTATACCGACTGCCCGCCTTTTCCCCCCGACAATGGCCCTTCTGGCGTCCACGCCGGCCTCGTCCATATCACGATCACCCTCGTGCCTGCCTCTTCCTGCGCTGTGTTCCCTCGCGCCTGCCTGTGCGCCCAATGCAGGCAAGAGCGATATGCCCTCAACCAGAACAAGCAGTTGCAGTGAGGCCTTGGCGCAGCCGCGGGAAGCCCCATCCACAACGGCAAGCGCAAGGGTGGAGCCAGAGGCAATTTCCCATATCAGTTGCACCTTTCACGTTTATTGCCGCGAAGCCTCTCTGGTATCCTCCCTTTAATCCCCTGTTCATCCTGCACGCCTTGCATCTCGTCTGCTGTCGACTCCGCTGCCTGCAACTGTCATGGACGTCTTGTCCGCGTTCCTTCCACGTTCTATTCCTAGCTCCTCGTGTCAGCCGCTACCGCAAACGGCTCCACCGTGGAATCTGGAGCGACCTACTTTAACCCATTTAGTCTGCATTCAACACTGCATAGCCTCATAGTCGCCTTCGTCTTTTCAACTTTTTCACGCATTCCCACCTGCTCATTCGAAGTCGTGTCTCAGCCTGGGCATGCGCGACATCCAACGCCCTTGTAGCGATCTGACCGCCGTGGTGAAACACAAACACCAGATCAAGATCGCCATCGGTCCCCGGCTGATAAGACATGTTGTGCTCACCACTCGCTCCTACCCCGCGCCATTGAGCGAATCTAATCCCGCCGTGCGTTCGGCGCCGCGTCAGCGTCAAGTCATCCTACCAGACTCTAGCAGCCTCGACCTTTCTGGCTCGACTGTCAACACGCGCAGCCTCCCAGCCTCCCGACTGCTGCATACCTCATGTACCACGTCACGTTTCTGCAGTCACAGTATTGGCCTGCATGCACCACGCCGCGCAATACATCTTAGCACGTTCTCATGTCTATGTTAACCAAATATCACCGACTGCAGCAAGCCAAGCTTCAATGGTAAGCCGGACCATGTTTCACATTGCCCACACAGGCAACTCGGGCGATTCACCCCGATAAATCTAACGTCTGTCCACGACTTTTCATGTTCAAAGTCTGAATTCGATACTTGCGAACGCAAATTCCATCATCTGTTTGACCTGCATGTGCTAGAAGATCGCCATGCTTCCATTTCTCGGTCCAGAGATTAGGGTAGTGTTCGCGCTCCATCCTATTCGTATCGTTTCGTCTGCGATTCCCGCACAGTCTTTTACAATCCGTACAAGCATGGTTGGATGTGCTTTGATGTGAAGGGTTGGCCTGATGATTGATATCTACTCATGAACACGTCTGCGTGACGGTACGTACATGGCGCAAATACTACTACATACGTGAACAACTTCAAAAAGCCAATACTCCTCAGGATCGGAGCAAGGCAAACGACAGCCTCGGCGCAATCAACCTCCGATTGTATTTATACGGCACGTTATTATTGGAAGGCACCTGGGAGAATGGACGCCTCGTCGAGTCTAAGCCCAGAAGGTGTATCGCTTGGCGCATGATTTCCCTAATTCGGACAACTCCACTATCAAAACGAGGACATCAGCCTTGATCGTAAAACGGGAAGAGGAATATCGAGCAGCGTTTGTGTATACATATATTTTCTCCTTGCAACTCAGCCAAGTTCTTCATCTCAACTTCCCAAATATTCCATCTTCCAGTATCTTCTGAAGCAATGCCACCCCACTCAACAATCCACAACACCATCACCAGCCTAACCACCGGCCCCCCTCTCGTCATCGCTATCATAGGCGGAACCTCAGGCATCGGATCCTACATCGCCAAAGCCTTCGCCTCCGTTTACCGCAACTCAAATTCCAAACTACGCATCTACATCGTCGGCCGCAACGCCTCGCGCGCAGAAGCTCTGCTTGCAGAAGTGCGCGCCACAAGCCCAGATTCAGAATGGCGATTCATACAAGCCCATGACCTGGCGCTGATGAGCGATGTCGACACCATATGTGCGCAAATCAAGAAGTATGAAGAAGAGCAGCCATTGAACGGGGGAGAACCGCGGATAGACATGCTATACATGACCCAAGCAGAGTCACCACTTGCGCCATCACCGCGTAAGTATTTTCCATCTGCACTCGCTTCCAGCAAGAAGTGAGGCGTAACAACCACCCTCCCAATCACCTCAACTAACCAACCCCACCAGTAACAAAAGAAGGCCTCGACACCCAAGTCTCTCTCCTATACTACTCCCGCATCCGCTTTATCCTCGCCCTTACACCCCTACTCCTCCGCTCCCAAAACCCAAGCGGCGCCCACGTCATCTCCGTCTTCGCAGGCACAATCGAAGACCCCATTTCCCCGTCTGCCCTTCCAATCGGCCCACCGACGCCGGAAAAGCACGGCGTGACATCGGTCCGCACGCACGTCGCTTTCATGAAGACCTTCATGTTCGAGGCCCTAGCTGAAGAACACGCTGACAGGATCGCTTTTGTACATGTTTATCCAGGGCTGGTTGACGGTCCAACGTTCCTTAGTAAAGTAAACCCACTGTGGTTTCGCGTACTATGGCGCGTAGCTAAGGTGTTGATGGCATGGTACATGACGAGTCCAAGGGTGTGTGGTGAGGTCATGGTGTTTCTAGGTATGGGCAGGTATCCCGCGAGGGGTGTCGGTGCAGGGGTCAAAGAGGGCGAGGAAGGGAAGACGGTGGCTGATGTGGCGTTTAGTAGTACACGGGAGAGGGGAGGAGGTGCATATACGGTGGGTCAGAGGGGTGATGAGAAAAAGCAAGTTAGTTATGCCAAGCTGAGGCAGAGTGACACGAGGGACAGGGTTTGGAAACATACCATGGGTGTGTTGGGGAGTGTTCCGAGGCTGAGTGAGTAAGTTGTGAGGAGGAAGGGGGCTTGTATATGACGAAACGTCATTCATGCATTGTTTGGAAAAGAAACGTGGGGATATCAGACTGATAGATGAAGCTCGTATTTTGTATCTTGCACCACCTCAAACAGGGAACAGGCGTGTTTATAACGACCACATCTATGTAGGACTCCTCTAACGGAACACAGTTGCGCAGCTCAGAAAGTAACATTGCAGCCATCACTGCCAGAGGTGGTCGCAATTCCAATCTTGCACCACGCCACCACCGAAAGCAGCGTGGAGACTAAACAGATCAGTCTGGCAATCGGCAAACTCCGCGGCGAGCCCAGCAAAGTCGTTGAGGTATTGCTCGGCAGTCTCTCCACGGACTCCCGGTCCGTGAATCGCTGGAAGCGAGTTCGGGGTTTGCTTCGAGCTGACAGACCATGCAGGCGTAATCTTTGGAGGGGGGCCTATTGAGGACGATTTCGTGCGCTTAGCTAGTGACTCAGGGTCGTCTCGTTGATGCTGATGACCGTTGTTGGTAAGCTTGGGTGGTAACAACTGCTCCATGCAAGCAGCCATGGTTTTCCTGGTGGTGGAATGTAGTTCGTAGATTCGTCCTGGGGTTGATTCAGGTAGCTGTACGCATTTCAGCGCCAGCGACATGAAAATGATGTCTTTGAGATCATCTGCTTTGCCACGACCCAATCTCGCGATGAGGTAGTTGATAGTCTGCTCTACCTTTGCGACGAGTATGTGTTCGTTGTGCCCGGACATTTGTTGCTCTAGATACTGGCCATTCGAGCTGGCCTGGCGGAGATGTTTGATGCGTTGGCATACTGTGAGAGCAGACCACAAAGTGTCTTTCTTGCACAACCAGAAGTAGAGATCCTCCTGTGACGGTGACGTATCTTCAAGCGCTCGAGGGTAATAGAAGTTTGAATAAGAGAGTATGGCCACCGATGAATCGACACATTGTAGCCAGGCCTCTGCGACCTCTTGCTATCAAGTTGTTAGCATAGAAGGTTACTCTAGACAAAGACAGGAGACCTCAAATTTTTGAAAGAACGTTACACGAATTCTGCGTCTAAACTTCATCGCCTGCGTCATAACTGATGAAATACGTACTAATTTTAGGTTAGCTAGACATCTTAGAAAGTATCTGCGGTGGCTAACTTACCTTGATATTCCTGATAGCCGAAGAGGAGTGGTCTGTATAAGCATAATAGCGATCGTCGAAGATAAAAGTCTAGGAGAATGCGATGCAGAAATCCACCTCGATCGCCGGTTGCTGGCTGGCTGTGTTGCAGGCTGAGAGTCAATGGTAGAGAGCACCAGGATCTTTGTATCTCACGCCCTATCTCAATCGCCTCGTTGACATCGGGGATCGAGCGCTGTACAAGCGAGGAAGCTCTGATTCGATGTGGAAGAGACATAGCAAGATGTATCTGGTAGAGGTTGTCTGTCAGATCGCAAAGAGGGCGGGGAGGAGGTAGCTTCGATGAAGACTCGTCAAAGTCCTCGTCATACAGATTTGCCGGTACCGGACAGTAAGATCCGAGCTCTGGGACTATCAAGGGCATACCCGTCATGATAGATACTTGTACTTCCGTTTCCAAAACAGACGCCCATAGCCGCTTCCGCATCTCCATCTGGTACGGCGAAAGATGATTTATCTTCGCAGGATCTATGTGCAAACCCATGGTCATAGCTGACCGCATTATGGCACCGCTGCGGCTCCAAATTCTATCTGGGTCAGAGTGGCTAACGCTACCAGACAGTAGCACAAGTAATTCGACTTGAAGAGTTGATAGCTCCGTTCGCTGCTTTCGTCCAAGTTCTCCGAGCCATGCTTGAATGTGGTTGATAGCTGCACCCCGCAAATAGGTTCTATAATTGTCGTCTTCATCGGTTTTGGCCGTGTCGTCCAGCAAGTAAGCCCTAGTCATAACGCTTGTGAGCAGTGCGAGGATGCTCGATGAGGAATCAAGCCCGGATACGCTGTCAAGCCACAGTCTTTCATAATGACGCATGAAAGTTGGGCGGTGCAGAACGCGCATGGTACGCTCAAAATACTGGAAGTATATGGAAACCAGCTTGTCACAGTACGGCTTTGGTGGTAGGGACTCCCATAGCTTTAGTAACGATGGCGAACGTCCAGAGTCATGCTTGCGCTCAGGCGGCCGAATTGGATCTCCTTTTGATCTGCTTTGAAGAAATTTGACTTTCTTTGCAGACGCCATCAACTGCTCATCACTAGCCATCTTGTTGAGGAAGTCCTTGACATCGAGGAACTGTGTTCCGTCAGTATCATGTTTCACAGATGGTTTTCAATCCTCTTGCCTGGTTAAGGAGCGTAGTTTTGTCGTTCTGCCCAAAATACCGTGATTTACCTCCTTCAGCCACGACTGTGCCAACGAGAGGCAAGTCTGCTGTCGGTGTTGACTGGCCGACCTCTGCTTTCATTGGATGTTCGCGCGCACGTTCAAAGCAATACATGTCGACATCTGGTAAGGCTCAATGCCAGGTAAGATAGCAAATCCTACTGGCACGGGCCAAAGAATTGTTAATGTGCCGTCTGGCAAAGGATGTGAAGGATGCTTTGTGTCTACCGACTCTGGATGTAATTGCCGCATTGGAGTTTGCGGCTAAAGACATATGAGGGATCCATGGATGCGCGGACGGGTCTTTCCTCAAACTGCAAGCAAGGCGGCAAGCTAATGCACGTCCGCGGCGTAGTCAAGGTGTCCACTAACCCCTGACAGGGACGGCACTTAGGCGTTGTCGAGTGCCATGAAAACCCAAAGACACTCTCGAGTTATCTATCTAAAGGTGGCTAGGTAGCTTTATGGTCGTGTAAGAGGGAGGATAGTAGTGACGAAGATATGCTAAAGGCCTACGGTGCACCTGAAAAAAGGTGTTGGAAGGGTTAGCTAACGTAACTACCAAAAGGCCTGTTATAGCAGGCGTGCCATAATAGGAACCACGAATCAAGCCACGTGACTATATCAGCAATCCATCGATTGACACGTGAAGCTCGACTGTCGCGCCGACTGTCGCGTGTGTTTGTGTTGAGAGTCGAGTGTGGTGAAGGAGTCTGGAAGGCGGTGGTGACGTCTAGCTTGATTCGCCTAGAACCCCACACCGAAGGTCCCTGAGAGCAACGGCGAGATTTGCCCGCCATAACAACACGTAGCTTCCCAATCCACATATAGCAATTGGCATACAGTCCACACATCAATTGCGTCTCCCATAACCACCCATTGGAACATTGACCCCATTTTGGCATCTCCTGCAGGTAAGTGCCAGGGAACAGCTGCAGGCCCCACCTGCATCTGAAGCTCTCTGGACACAGTAGCTAACAGCTCCCCTCGCGTTGTGCAGCTATCCGACGTCCATCATGAGCAACCTCTTCGAAGCCAAAGTCAAAAGCGTCCTTTCCGGCGACACCGTCGTTCTCCACAACATCAACAACCCAAAAGCAGAGCGCACACTGAGCTTAGCCTTTGTCACCGCGCCGAGACTGCGACGAGAGGGAGACGAGCCCTTTGCCTTCGAGTCACGCGACTACCTCCGCCGTCTGCTGGTAGGCAAAGTCGTCCGGTTCCAAGTCCTCTACAAGATCCCGACGGGCGCGAACCGCGAATATGGCCTCATCGTCACACCGAATAAGGAGATATTGCCGCAACAAGCCGTCGCGGCGGGCTGGGTGAAGCTGCGCGACGACGCCGGCCGCAAGGAAGACTCGGATGAGGCTGCCAACCTACTCGAGCGACTGCAAGTAGACGAGGCGCGCGCTAGGGCAGACTCCAAGGGCCTCTGGGCGGAGACTGGCGGCAGGATCAACTCGTCGTCAGAGCTGAGTGACCCGACCAAGTTCGTGGAGCAGAACAAGGGCAAGGACATCGATTCGATTGTCGAAAAGGTCTTGTCCGGTGACCGCCTCATCGTGCGATTCCTCCTCTCGCCCACTGAGCACGTACAAACAATGGTCCTCCTCGCCGGTGTCCGCGCCCCCGCAACACAGCGAACAAATCCTTCCGACGGGAAAGTGCAGCCAGCCGAGCCGTTCGGCGACGACGCTCAACAATTTGTCGAGACAAGGCTGTTACAGCGAGGAGTCCTCGTCGAGGTTCTGGGAACAACACCGAATGGCCAAATTGTCGCAGACGTCAAGCATCCTACCCAGGGCAGCATCACACCTTTCCTGCTCAAGAACGGCTTGGCCAAATGCACCGACCACCACACCACCCTCCTCGGCCAGAAGATGGGCATACTTAGGGGCGCTGAGAAGCAGGCAAAGGACGGCCGTCTGGGTGTATACAAGGAGCACGTTGCGCCCAAGATCAGCAAGGCTGGAGAGCAAGAAGCCACCGTTAGCCGTGTCCAGAGCGCAGACACCATTTTCATCCGGAACAAGGCGGGCGCAGAGAAGCGCATCAACCTCAGCAGCGTCCGCCAACCCAAGCCTACGGATCCCAAGCAATCGCCATGGGTAGCCGAGGCCAAGGAGTTCTTGCGCAAGAAGCTCATCGGCAAGCACGTCAAGTTCCACGTAGACGGAAAGCGACCGGCGACCGAGGGCTACGATGAGCGCGAAATGTGCACCGTCACCTTCCAGGGCAAGAACGTTGGTCTGATGCTTGTAGAGAGCGGCATGGCATCCGTCATCCGCCACCG